GCAATCAGCTGGTTTTCCTTAGATAGAAAACTTTGAATCAATCTGACTGGATCATCTGGTGAACTGGAAATAAACTGAATTGAAATACTAAAATAGGATCAAAGTTTTCATGCGTCAGATGAGGGGTTTGCAACCTCGACTGTGGCTCTCTTAAAATACCAAACTTGCTCTTGCTTTTTTTTTTTTTTTTTATATACCAAAGTGCTTTCAACCATGGACAGGGGCCAACAGGGGCCCCCGTATATCATGTCCTGGCCCCTGTTATGGCCCCTGTACTGAAGACATGATACTCTGAACTGTGCCGGAACAGATACGGTTACTGATAGGTCCTTTGGATCTATTTAATTTTTTTTTCTTTAAAATTCTGTTTTACTAATTATTTAAAAACAATAACGTGATAGCTTCAGTGGTATTGAGATAGGATCCCAGTTTTCATCTGCTAAATGTAAAAAAAAAAGCTGAATTCATCAGTTTTTTTGTTGTAATTCAGATTTTAGCTTAAATTAGGTCAAATATATGTTAATTTCCAAATTATGAATGTATATTGATCCAATAAGACATTTTTAAATTTCAATTAAATCTAATTGAATAGAAATTTCACTTCATGCTTTTAGATTGATATATTTGAATCAATTGCCCTGTTTTTTATTTCATGCTTTTCTGTGCCCCCATGAAAACCCGCTGGGCCCCTCATGCCCCCCTGATACATTTGGTCTAGAACCGCCAGTGCTTTTAACATGGTTATTTTTTCCTTTGTAAAACCTCACCAAGGACATTCATGCTGTTAAAACGTGACCTTGAAATATTGGAAATAAGTAACCTTGACTGTTGGATTTTCAGACAGTATTCAAAATGTTGATCCTTTGTGGGAGGCCAGGCGGAGACTCTTGCTGCTCTGCTCCCGGTAATACTCCTGCTGCTCTTTAGGGATGGACGTTCGGTTCAATCATTTCCGTTCATCGCCGCAGCAGCGGTTTCACGTCGTGCGTGATTCCTTATTGTGGGAAGAGCAGCAGACCCCGCCCCCCCGTGCTGCCCCAGAGACAGCAGCCAAACGGCTCACCCAGCGCACCGCAGCGCACCGCTCCAGCCCTGCCGTCGGTAACGGAGAAGATGGCAGAGCGGCAACAACAGAAGCACGAAGGCAGGGTAAAGATCGGCCATTACATCCTCGGTGACACGCTCGGAGTGGGAACGTTCGGGAAAGTAAAGAGTTAAGTCACGTCTTTTTGTGTCACATCAAACATAAATGTGTGTTTTAGCTGTCAGAGTTCATGTTAATATTCGCCCTGCCTCCTGACATAGCGTAGCGGGTTGAACTTGACAGTGAGCCGTTAGCGTAACTCCACGTTTAAAAGCAGACGCGGACCTGATTTCCTGCGTAGCTGTCGCGTAAGAATTCGAGCACTTGAAAGTCAAATTGTTTCACCGAGGAGCCTGTCGGTAGCCAGCAGTTATCAGCTGAGGCAGGTGGAATAACACGAAGGGATTCAAACCCACATCATATTAATACAGCTGCATTGTGTTGTTAAAGAAATATAGTTTAAGTTTTTATTGGGATTTTTATATTTTAATCAGAACCGTCCAGTTTGATGGTGGAAGCCTAAAATGTGGTTAACGGGTTTAAAGGTGCAGCGGCTGTTAGTTTAATGTTATGACAGGAGAACCTTTAATGTTTGTTTGAAGGGTTTTTATTCCCTCAGCTGGTTTCTGTGCTCAGAATGACCTTGTTAGCCTTTCAGCCTGCTGCTTCCTCACACCATCCTGTAGCTAACTCACCTTCACCTGCCTGCTCCTTTAAAACTGCTCAATAAAAACTTATAGAAAGAAAAACAAACAAAGCTTTGTCCTGTGTGAGCTGAAGCAG